CTATGCAAGCTGAATTTGTGGCATGTTATGGGGCTACAGTCCAAGCCGTTTGGTTAAGAAATTTCATCTCTGGTTTGAAAGTTATTGATTCTATCTCAGGACCGATCACCATCTACTGTGATAACAGTACATCAGTATTCTTTTCAAATAATAATAAAAGTTCTGGTGGATCAAAACATATTGACATCAAATATTTGGTCGTTAGAGACAGAGTCAAAGAAGGGCAGACGAAAATAGAGCATATCAATACAGAGGCGATGGTTGCTGATCCCTTGACTAAGGGACTCGCTCCAAAAATTTTTAAGATATATGTTACTAATATGGGTATTGTGGAAACATTTGATATTTTTGGTTAGTGGGAGTTATTTATGTAAAGAACTACATTTTGGGTTTGATCCCTTTACGGGGTACGTAGGCAACCCATATGTTTTCGGGTACAGCCCCTTCCGATAATAAAATATTTTCCCCTATCCATGAATTATTTTGAGCATGCATTTTGACTTATGTCTTTTATTATGATATTATTGTAATCTCGAGATATGATGGATAAAGACATAAGATGAGTCTCTTTTGGAGACATATGACTTCATTTTGATCTGAAGCATTATGAGGACCGATATGAATTAGCACAGTTCTTGATCACATTTTGGTGCTAAGTTCATACCACATACTACCACATTGGTTGGAGGATGGAGATCCATGTCGATAAGGATATTGACATTTGTAACTGTGGAATGGTCTTACATTGCTTAATTGGTGTAATAACTTCCATGTTCGGTGTTGGTATTCTTGTTGGACCGGATCATGTTACGTAAGGTGTTATCATTGGAGCTATACTTTTGTGGCCACCTATGTTGTCTAGCCCGAGTGTTGAAACTTTTGTTATAACAATTGAATGTTTGCCCAAGTGGGAGAATGTTGGAATTATTCCATATGTGGGCCTCAAATTCGATTGTAAATTTTACGGGTTAGATATATAGCTCATTGTGTTTTGTTATTGGGCCAAAATTAATTATGTGATCAATTGGGCCTTTACACCTTACGGGTTGAAATTAAATAATGTGGTAATTTTAAGTATGTGGGCCGGAATAAAAACCCTAATAAGGGCCTGTTGAGTCTTAATGGGAGACCTATTTAATTCCTATATAAAGGTTAGGTCCCCTCTCCTCTCTATATCGTTTAAGCTTGTCCCATTGATAGCTTTCAATTTGTAAGGAGCAAGGAGGGGAAGACCCAACCTCTATTACATATTACATCCATTATTCATACTAATGGCTTCCGCAGGTACGCATTCAATTTATTGATTTATTGAAGTTGTGATTCCAATTCTTAACATGTTAATAATTTGGGCCCCCCACCATGTGAGTGGAGGACACCATTATGTACAAAATATTATGTACACATAGCATCCCTCTTTATATATAGTTGTTTATTGTTTTTTATTTTTACTTGGTAAAATGCAGTAGTAATGGGATAAAAAATGTTGGAATGTATTATATGAATTTTTATTTTAAAATGGGTAATACATGTAATTTCCACATAATCAAATTTGTGACAGAATATCATGTAACCTTGGTCTTGTCTAATCATTTCTAGACAGTACAATAATTGAGCAATTAAACATGGATAAAGATATTTGATCAAAATTTTGTATTCGTTCTCACAAAATTAGCGGATCTCACATGAATTTAAAAAATATCGGCTTCTTTCACTTTTATCGTGAGTAGTGAATAAAGAAGTTTGTAAAAAAAAAAATTTGTACATATAATATGATCCAAATATTAAATACCAAGTAACTTACACCTACGGGTCACTTTATTTGAAGTGCAATACTGTGTCGTCTTCTTCCTCGAACATCTATATATAAGTGCCACCACCAATGTAATTAAAAACGTTCTCGTCTTGCCCTTCGGGGCACATCCAAGTTGGCAAAGGACAGGCATTGTGGGGCTCGCAACCCCAGCGTGGGGAGTTCGATTCCTGGTTGGAGCAGCTAAGTGATGTAATAACCATTCTTGATTGGAGCAGCTTGGTAATGTAATAATCATAGAGGAAGGCTCCCTTGGGGCCAGGAGTATAAAAGATGCACGGACCCTGGTCAGCTTGGGCATATACCGCGATTTACCTCCATTAGTCACTGAGTGGCCAGGGGCTAGGGGTCCAGGATTTAGTCCGGCGAAGCTGGGACACCTGCGTCATCAACAAAAAAAAAAAAACTTTCTCGTCTCTCTCTCAAAAAATATCATAAACAATTCCCCCGTCTCTCTGCCTCTACAAATCAGTTTATCAAACACTTTTCTCTCTCTAAAACCCCAGTATTTACAGAAATGGAGCAAAATCAACCAGCTATTACAAAAAAGGTGTGGAACGTAGCGCGTACGATGTTGTACATGTTGAAGAAAGGCATATCCAAAGGTAAATTAATGGCTGAACTGAGCATGATGTTCAAACGTTGGAAGATTGCAGGGAAAGCCATTCAAAATCTCATGTTCCACCATAGCCACCACTGGTCCGCCTCCTCCTCCTCCACCGACACCGCCGCCGCCGCTGGAAATCTGTCATTTCCATACCCAACAAATGAATACGAATTTAGCTGCAGTAACAGCCCGGCTTATCCTAATTTTCATCTCCCCTTCCACCTCAATAACAAACGTAAGCACAACAACCACTGTGCTCCGTTCTCGCCTTCGCCGGCGGCGACGGAGGAGGATTAGGTGAAGTTTTCCATATCAATCAGCATGAAAAATATCAAATAGAAAAGAAAATGTTTTCCATTTTTGTGGAAAATAAAAACCACATCTACCCAAGAAAAATATTTTCCTTAAAAACAAGGAAAATTAGGCATATTTTCAAAAGTTGGAAAATGTTTTCCATAGAAAAAAATAGCAATTAAACACTCCAAATAGGAATTTGGGTGAAAAATTAATATTTTTCATGAAAAATAAATATAATCGAACACACCCTTAATTTTATTACTCCCAAAAAATATTTATTATTTATTTTTCTTTATATTTTATTCTAAGTAACTTTTCTCTAAATTATTTTATGAATTTCTTACATTGAAAATTAAAACACTTTGAATCCATTTAATTATAAAGATTAAGTTTGCCTCTCCACCCACCCTCGACATTAAAATATTAATTTAAAGAGTTTCTTATAACATAATTTTAAGAGTTGATCCTTTAAAATAAAGAATATTTCATATTTAAAGAGGCTCTTAGATATGTTCATATTGTCTTTTGTAGCGTTGAGTGAAAATGAGATGTTAAGAAAATTAGCCTGCATGAGTCCCATTTTTTCCTAAAATGCATTTTGAAATAGTAGATTTACGCAGAGGACAATTCCATTTGTACCAAAAGTTGTCCCCCCTTTACAATGCACGCGAGCTCCACTTGAATATAAAAATTCTAAAATGTGGTCTTCATCCCCTATTGTGAATGGTAGGTAAAGGATTAAATAAAAAATTTATGTACATATAATATTGTCTTTATGCAAAATATGAGGTTAAAAAAGGGACAACTTTAAAAATGGCTAGTAAATTCTTCCTATTTTCCACAATAGCCTTCCTTATTAAAAGTACTATATTACCCTTAATGAAATTATTTATAAGATCTATCTTAAAGAATTGTCAATTAGGTCCTATATCTATATTTTTCAATCTTTTGAACACCTTTAAATATTCTTTATATTTTAATAATTCTTTAAAGATTATAGGTTGGCCTTTCTTAGTTATATATCCATTAAATAATCTTACTGAGATTTCTTCTTGTATATCCGTATGTTTAGTTATAATATCTTCTACTTTCCTTATTTCTCTACAAGTTCTTACAGGATCAAAACCTATATTATTCTTACAACTATAATCTATATCTCTATATATTTCTTCAATTTTTTCTTTACCAATAGGGAATATAACATCAGATTTTACATCTAATTTAAGCAGAAAAGAAACATCTTCTTCATCTAAAAATAAAATGAGATTATTATCATCATTATTAGTGGAAGTGGATGCTTGTGAATTGTTCATGAAAATAATTAAATCATAAGCATGTAAAGATAAGTAAATAACTTACAGTAATCAAGTGGAATAAACAGGTTTTCCCTCCAGTATGCTCTTATAGATGCTTTGCATGTACTTAATCAATCTTCTGAATCAAGTAAAGATTAAAAATGTTTTTGAAATCATTTGGGTCCACAACTGCTTCCGCAAAAGGTTTTTCAATTAAGGTTGCATTTCTCATTCTTAGAGAACTAGCCGTGCTTCCACAGACGCTATCTCACAGTATCCAGAGTCTCTGTTTTCACCTCTATCCAAACTCTTTTCAGAATCAAGTTCCTACTTGGAACGAAATTTTAAAAGATAACTCACACTCAAAGTGCTACAATTTTGTTAGAAAACTGCCCTTTTCCCCTAAACCATTCATCAAAGACGGGTACTTTGGCATGGCTAACATCCATTCAAAATCAATGTTTTGAAAATCTTTTAAAATCTCTATCTGTACTGCCGAGGAATCATGAGAAACTTAACGAAACCCTTTTATGAAAGCTTTGTTGAACATAACAAACTTTACTTTGATATTCATAAACTGAAATTGTACATGCTTACAAACTATATTTACATACCTTTGGTACTCACCTTATGAAGTTTAAAACTCCATAAGTGATTACCTTATTACACGCTTTCCTATCTTCAAGCTATCTAGTATTTTTCTGAATACAAGTGGTGTATACAGATTACAAGAAAATTTTTCTCTAATATGTTCTTCGAGAATAGAGATAGATTTTTCGAGATATCTTCCTTCTTCCTTCATGCTCCCTTTTATAGGAGAGTTTGAAATCTTATCTTGGACAGGTGTCTTCCACTTTCTTTGTTGGGTAGCAAGGCATCTTATCTCCACCGAATTCTTTATTGTCTTCTTGCAATGTGGACCTCTCCTTTGAAAATTATGTGCCTTATCTTTTGAATTTGTCTGCCACTTGTGTCAACTAGTGGGTGAGTGGTTACAATAATGGAGACTTTCTTATATTATTTCTTGTCTTTAGTAGCCACAGTTTTTCTTTAATAAATTTCTTTATTAAAGTAGTGATAAAGGGCTACTTCAATCACCATCATTTCTCCATTTTTGAATCAAAGAATTCTGCAGGGAATTCTTCATCGTTAAGAGATGCTTGGCTCATATCTTCAACAACACAGTATTCACAGTGGTGATCACTGTAATTCCAAAGTAACTTGCATAATTCCTTAGCCATATCTTCTGATCCATGTACTTGATTGGATATAATTGCAGATAATAAATGGTCAAGATAACAAAGATCTTCTTCTTTAGTGGTCATCCTTGCACTGGAATATATAATATGATCTTCAGAAGGATAAACCCATATTTTTTCTTTCTCAGTGATCACCCGAGTTACATGTTCAAATATCTCTTTATACCCTTTGGCTCTTCTATAGGGCATCATATTAAGAATATCTTGATATCCATTTTTAACAACCTTTTGATTGGCTGGTAAAAAATGTTGATTTGTTAATCCCATTTTGATCACATGGAACGATGGATGCATATATTCAAGGACAGGATCCCATTCCATTGTTGCTGAATGGAATCTGATATATATATTTGTTGTTTTAACAAAAAACCAGAAAAGATACACTGGTAATGTAAGAAAACAATCTATAAAAGAAATAAATCCAATGAAATCATATAATGAACCAATCCACACAACAGGAATATGGTTAGATTTAGATTGTGTAGATAAAAATAAAGCTATTGAAACATGGATAAAAAGTACAGATTTAGCTATAGATTTGGTACAAGTATCTTCTGCCTCAAGAGCTGTATTTTTGCCTCGAAGATTATCTTGAATATTTTGAATTTGAGCTTCCAAATAGGAAACTTTTATTTCAAGTATCTGGACTTTCGTCCTTAGTTGTTCTAGCTCCATCCCTGCTAAGATAATCAGGAAGAAAGTTAGTTTTACCTTTTATGTATTCAATGTCAAATTTGAAATATGAAAACCAAATTTGTATCCTAATAATATATCTATTAGTAATAGATGGATCAACATTATTTTTCAGAAATGCTTTAACTTGAGTATTATCAGTTCTAATTAAGAACTTCTTTGGCAATAAATAATCTTCATATTTCTGAACTCCTCTTTTTACAGCAATGAGTTCCTTTCTGTTTGTCTCATATCTAGTTTCAACTTCTTTGAATGTTCCCGATGTATAACCTGCAAGTATTTCAGGACAAGAACAATCTTTTTCACATTTATATTCTTTATGATTCTTTTTGACTTTTAACACTGCTCCCCAGTAATAATCTGAAGCATCAGTTTCCAAGATAAAAAAATCATCTTCTTGTGGTATTACCAGTTTGGGTAGTACCTTTAATTCTTCTTTAACTTTCCTTATATTTTCACAATCTTTTTCTTCCCAAGACCACATTATATTTTTTCTTAATTTTGGAAGAAAATAATTTTTTAATTTAGCACAATTTTCAATGAATCCTTCAGCATAATTCAATATACCAAGGAAACTTTGTAATTGTTTTTTATCTTTGATTTATTCAGGAAATTCTTGAAGTTTTTCACCAATATGAGATTGCAACTGCAATTCTCCTTCTTTTATAAATAATCCTAAGAATTCTATTTCTGTTTTAGCTATCTCAGATTTCTTTTGAGAGAGTGTAATACCATGTTTTTTCATGATATAACAGAATTTCTCAAGATGCTCAATATGTTCATCAATATTATTTGAATGAATAAGTAAATCATCTACATATGCAATACAAAAATGAGTAATTGGTTTAATTACCTCATCCATTCTTCTTTGGAATATCTGTGGTGCATTTTTCAACCCAAATGGCATTACATTCCATTCGTATTGTCCTAAAGGATTGGGGGTACTAAATGCAGTTAGTGGTTTACTTTCCTCTGTAAGTATGATTTGCCAAAATCCTGACTTACAATCAAATTTTGAAAATATCTTTTTGTTTTGTACTTGTTTAATAAGGGTATCCTTATTTGGTAAGTAATATCCATCGAACTTAGTTACTTCATTTAATTTTTTATAATTTATCACCATTCTGGCTTTTCCTCTTTTTATCTCACTATGTTTTCTAACCATAAAGGCTGGACTGCTATGAGGACTTTTACTAGGCCTAATTAATTTAGCTTCTAGTAATTCTTTTATCTGATTTCTAAATTCTTTTTGATCATCCACACTATATTTCATAGGTTTTATTCTAACAATAGTATCTGGATTGGTTAATTCTATTTTTGCCTTTGCTTTATCAATATTCCATTTTTCCAATGGATTTTCAGAATATGTTTTAGAAATTTCCTTTTTCAATTTTTCAATCCTATTCTCTGTTGTCATTTTTAAGACTGTAACTGGTTTAAATTTTTCTGTACTCCAACATCCACCACGCTGGGTTGAAGAACTCTGATGGTTTATTTCTCTATATGCAATTGTAACAGCTTTATTTATTTTTGGTGTAAATATCCTATGTGCACAAGGTGTTGTGAACATATATTTATCAATATATTGTGTAAATGGTGCATATTTTAATAGAAAATTTTGTCCTAATAAAATATCACATCCTATTGTGGTTGACATGTATACTGTATCAACAAATACTTCTCTAAAGGAAATTAGAAAAGGTGCTTGAGTAGCATACTTACTATATATTACCTTATTTCCACCTGCTGTTGT